TGACGGTACCTAACGTAGATGCGTTCATGAAAGGAAGAAGTCGGGAGTCTTAAGTCTCGGTAGCTATGACTGAGCTCAGGCAGCTCGTTGGGAAAACAAAGAACCGATGGTGACATGATAAGAATGTCCTGCTTGTACAATAATTTCTAGGCCTATCCATGCGCTCAAATCTGAACATCGTGATTCCAATATCCCCCTTGGTGAATTAAGACACCTATGTCAAGGCAAGCATAAAGGGCCTTGGATCGGTACATATCACTGTTAACACGAACAGGAATAAAACATGGTACTCCTCTTGAACTTCACAAACTGCACTATCGTCTATTTTATGTCAGCATTTAAAAATGGTTCCTTTGGGTCACGGTGTTAAAGAGGAAATGACCCAAGTTTTCTTTTGTCAGCGTGTTTCACACCTACCCTTATGTCAGCTATGAAGGAGTGATCCTTCGATTCAAGTTGGGTTGGGCGCAAGCCCGACTCCCACCTGGTGATATTGCGATAGAGGAAGGTTTTGTGAGGTTTTGAGAAAGAAAAAGGCTATGAGGGATGTTTGCTCCTGGAGGGAAGTGGAGGGAGGAGCGCCGAGTTGGCAACCAAGTGATCATCTGTGCTCCGGACCTGAAGCGGTTGAATTCATGGAAGTAATACTGCTATGCAGTACTGCTTTCCAAATAAAATTACGCCTGAATAGGGGAGTTGCATTACATCTTAGATAGTTGCATGAGCCCATTTGATGGTGGCTCCAGGGGCTACAGTAGATAGTTTGGACACTGGAGTGGAAGGGTAGATTCAAGATTGAAGTGAAATAAATCAACTCGACCCAGATACAAGTTAGGTAATAGCCTAGTGTAAGTAAAAAGAACACAATAGTGAGGGCACCATCTCTTAGCCTTTAGGGATGTCGCATGCCCGCGTGAAAATATATGCCCTAGAATAAGTAATGATAAAATTAAAAAAACCTCTTCTGAGAGAGTCATGATCTCTCCCTGTATCTTGGGACTTCTGGGGTAATAAATGGCTTCAAAATATATTGAGAGAAAATCAAAGCCCAATGGGACTCAGTACATCCCTTGGTTTTTTTCTTCCCACAGTCATTGGTACATCAATCATTGTAGCTCTTGTTCCTCAATGGCAAGACCAACAACGCCAGAGCGCAAGTTCAATGGAAAGCCATTTTGAGGAATATCGCAGATGAATCACAATAAGAAAATCCATTCATAGCACCACGCAGTGTTGTGAGACCAATGGCAAAATTCATCTTCCCGGAGCAAGTTCTGTTAACGATTCACACTCTCGCCTCTCCCACAGTCCCATTTTGTTCCTCCTAGGTCTCAACTCCCAGTAACATAAAAGGGTTATAATCTGTTTTCTCTTCCTTCCTTCCTTTCAACCATCAAACCCCCACAACCTCCTCCGCTAAACATCTATCTCCCGGATAAAGTGAAAAATATTTTCAACTCCACGTCCAAATCCGTTTAAAAACCAAAAACCATGAAAACCAATAACCCCAACACCACCGCCCCAAAGGACATCGCCGAAGCTCCTACCACCTCCCCGGAGGACACAGACAACGATTCGAACCAGGGAAGCAAACCCAGTCCCGAGCTCATGAACACCGTCCAAATCCTCATGGACAAGGTTGAAGAGGCGCCAAATCCCGGTTCAAACGCTGCCCCAACCGCCACTCCTCAAACCACCAAAGTCCCTCGTCAACGTGCGCCCCGTGCAGTACCAGCGGGCCCGCCGCGCAGAAGTGCACGCCACATCAAGGAGGTGCAAGAGTCTTCACAGGATGAGCCAACTATTATTTCCCCTAGGAAGCACAAGAAAGAACCTGGGAAGACCGCCGCCGGGACTAAGTCCCCGATTCTGAAGCCAAAGGCGGGAGCGCGGATTAGAAAGCAAAAGACAAAGAAGAAGAATATTGTCAGAGGATTGAAGGGAAAGATGGCGAAGAAGGCTTTGCTGGAGGAGGAGGAGGCGGAGAAGGAGAAGAAGGAGAATGCCAAAATGGCTGCTCGTATGACAGGCGGAGGGGGAAGAGCTTCGCGCAAAAGCGCCGCCCGCGCATTTCAGGGCGCGGCGATAAGATTGCCGAAGTGGTGGAAGAAGGGTTTGTGAAGCCTACTTACTACATAGGCTAAGTACCTGAATGCGAGCGAGATTATATCATGTATCATATCTTTGAGAAAAAAACTTGACACTAAAAAAAACTATGCTGTTCTCTATTTTGTACAAAAATCAAAAGAAAAATCAAAAATCAAGGACTTTATAGTGTTCCCATTGGTGACATGTCGCTTTCAGTGAATTTAGAGATTCTTTGTGACTTGGGGAGATCATTGTCAATACATTTGTTCTTCCCCGAATGGGTAGTGTTTGGCACGAGCAGGCTCTGCTCGTGATTTAACGTGAGCTGGGGCCTGCAATCATAGGCTCGAGGGAAAAAAGCTCGAGCTTGCTCGAGCCTGCATTTGTTAGTAGCCACAGGGTATCACTCACGAAAAACCGACTTGTGGCAAACACTAGGAATGGGTAGTGGGTCCAAAGGTGAACCTAGCAAGAGTGCAGTTCCATTTAAGCAAGACCCTGCACAAGACCGGAAGGGTTGGCATTTGTTCTTGTAAATGTTTTTGAAGGAATTGACTTTCTTCCCTGCTCGCGTTGCCCGTTTCTCGTTGCCACATAACTTGAGTTTGTCTAATTGGAAAAATCGAGTGATCACCTGTGTTTTCGGTACGGAAAGCTTTGTGCCAAATATAACCCTTCATCATTCCAAAAACCCTTTGACAATCCCTCAAGGTACAAGAAAAAAGATATAATTGTTCATAACATACAGAAGCTCTTTTGGAGAGTCGTTCTTCAGTTATTTGAATTGCGGTGAAGAGAAATCTATAGAGTCAGAAGCGCTTCGCCGGAATAATGATAAAAGCACAATCAACTGCCCAGCCCTCTTTTCGTGGAAAGAGAACCTGCGCATATAGCAAGCGACTCGTGGCTTGATGGTACCGGTATTAGTTTTACATATAATTCTAGCAATATATTCTGGTTATAGTCTCGTCCCGGAATTGGAGCTGGGTCTACATGTAAATTCATCCAGTTACTCGCTCCTGGGATTTACTCCCATGAGTCTTTGTTGTAATTTATGGCGCATAAATTGTACTCCTTTTTATTTTGGGTTTTTCTTTTAGCCTTCTATTTCTTGTCTCGCATGTGCACTATAACTTATTACATTGTATCACTTTGATATTAGGATGGACTATTTTCTTTCTTTCCTCATATCTTCTTTTCGATAGAATACCTTTTGAATAATTGGTGGTGTATCATACTTCTGACTTATTGTGGAATCTTCTCCACAGTGGATGGTTTTTGGTATAGTTCCGGTCAATGCCAACCACCACCAAATGCGTGCAAAAAACCACCACGCTCGCATCAACAACCACAACCCCACATGTTAAGATATTAATTAATGCTTCTGTAAATGTGTGGACAATTAGTTTGAGAATAGAATTACAGAAGGAATAAATAAAAAACAAAAGGATAAAGGGTGGAGGACAGTTTGAAAAAAGGGAAATTTGTATGAACGGCAGGTGAATTAACCGACATGTATTAGAAAATATATGCCAAGAACTCAAGAATGAGTGATATCTCATGAGTCTGGTGAAGTGAGACACATAATAAGCAAGAGAAGAGGACAGCAAGTGATATAGGGGCTTAGGCTATTGTGCTTCTAATTACCCATCCATGAACAAGTACTGCTTGCCAAAAGCTCATAATCCTACATTAATGTCAGCCAGCAATAAGCGCAAAGGACAGCTAATGATTGCATGAGAATTGAAACGAGTGTGCAGTATTAATTTGGACGAAGATAATATCCTACCAACTACTAGTAGAACTACTACACACCTAGCGATTAGTGATGGCTATTCAGACTCAATTTCTGAATTGGATGATGGGAGTGAGAGCGATGATACACTAGCTTTGAGTGAAGAAGAGGAGGATGATAGGACAGAGAAGAATACCGGAATGCAAATAAAGTGGAAGAGTGGAGCAGATAAGAATTTACGAGGAGCATATGGTGTGGGGTCTAAATCATCGAGGCGAAATCAGCAGGAAAACCTTAATGAATTTAGAAATGAAGCAATTAAGTCCTACAATATCGCAGCATTATGGAAAAGACAAAGAGATTTACACTTAGCCTAGCCTCCAACTAAGCTTGCTGATGTCCCCTGTGGAGGTGTCAAGAGTGAGGGAAAAAAAGAGAAGTTACGGAGTCAGCAGATCCCAGTACTAAAGAAATTAGCAACTTTACTTCGCAGAAAGTGTGACCAGATTGCGAGGTTTGGAGTTGGCGGGCTAAGGGGACATCTTTTAAGAAGATATGAGATGGTACATGCTTTTCTTCATGCTCAGCTGAAAAGGCCTAATGATACTTGGAAGAGTGTTGTGCTTGCTGTAGCACATACATTTGGGAGAGGAGAATATACAGTAAGATGGATTATCAGATGGGAGTGAGAGTGGATATCCAATTCAACTATTCCTGCCGCCGAGGGCCATAGAAAGGCTTCAAATAAGCGGTGGGTATTGGAGTCACTTTTTTGTAATGAGGGGTTACAACTATTAATACGTGACTATGTGTCGAGTGCTAAAGATGGTAAGAATCTCTAGTATCTATTAATATATACATAGTAGAAAAAAAGTAACACCTTAAGCTAATTATAATATACATGATTAGGAATTACTTCGCGGAAGTTAACAAAAGTGATACTTGACTATATTTCCAATCATCTACCAAACCACATTTCCGGTGAGACAAGCTCAGATCTCCCCTCTGATGAGTCAGTAAATACAGAAGCTGAGTCCTTAGGTACTATATTTCTATCTATCAGTTCCCAGTCTATAGCTAATACAGCCTGAGGATTTTCAGAACCAGCAGAAGCGATGTATCTCAATACTATTTTTTCAAGTACTGGCCTAGAAAATGATCACCCTAAAGGCTCACTTCAAAGGCAACGTGGTGTTGTAGCCAGGACTGTGAGACACTGGTTGAGGAAGTTAGGATTTGATTGGAGGGATATTAAGAAGGGGGTCTATACAGATGGGCACGAGAGAGATGATGTCCGGAAATATTGGGAAACATTTTTACTTCACTTGGAATCCTACTGGCTCCAAGTAGTTGAATTTCATGACGATGGAAGTATAATTGATAAAGCATATCCTATAGGGGTAGAAGTAAATGCCTTGGATCCTTCTAGAAGGCCTCTCATTCTGATCACACATGACGAATCTATATTTCAATCAAATGATGGCCGACACCAAGCATGGATTTATAAGGGACATCACTTTATTCGACCAAAAGGCAGAGGCCAAGGGATCATGGTCTCTGACTTTCTTCTTCCTTGGGCACGATTAAGTTCACAATCACTTTCAGTGGAGAAAAGGAAGGAGCTGGGAGTACCGGAATATGCTACCTTTTATTTTGAGTATGGGAAAGAGGCGGGCCATTGGGAAGGTAAAGATTTAGTCAAGCACCTAATAGAGATTGCAATTCCCATAGCAGAAGCTATATATCCTGGGTATCAGTTTCTATTTCTTTTTGATAATTCCTCTAACCATGGATTATTTGCAAGTGATGCCTTAAGGGCATCTAGCATGAATCTTACATCAGGAGGGGAGCAGGCATTCCTACGAGAGGGTTATTATACAGGAGGGGGTGGGATAAGATACATACAACCTATGTGGAATAACCCTAGGGGAGAAAGGGAAGGATTACAGTCATTGGTCAAGGAGGAGATAGGACTGGAAGGAAGAGAGTTGGAAGGAGGGGTGAAAATACAAAAAGGACTACAACAAGTCCTGGTAGAGTAAGGCCTATGGCCGGAAGGGGGGCTGCATCTCGAGTGCACAAAGAATTTGTGTGTCAGATGTTTGCCTATTAAAAACTGTTGCATTTGCAAAAGTGGTCATAAATGCACCAAGTGCAAAACAAAAAAAACTTGCTCAGGTCCATGCTCAAGGCGAAGAAAGTGTGATAAGTGTGAGTATCACCGTACATGTAAGAAGTGCACTACACAAGAAAGGTGTGCCCAGTGCTTGGAGTATGGGAGTTGTAGGAATTGCACTGCATGTGCCAATATGCCTGCCCGCTGCACATCTAAAGGTATAAACTTGAATTAAGTTACTCTTTCCTCAGCCTTTACTTTATTGATTATTGTCCAGTATGCTAATTTAAAACTTTATTTTCTAGAATGTTGTGCTCGACAGCTTATGAGTGACCAACCCGACTTCAAGGCTCAAGTTGGAATACTTATGGAAGTTATTCAAAACAGAAACCATCAGGTTCACTTCTTTCCCCCCTTCCACTGCGAGTTAAATTAGATCAAGTACTATTGGGGGGCTGCTAAATGTCATGCACGGGATCACTGTGAATATACTATTGATGCATTATGACAGACTCTTCCTGCCTCTCTTTCCTCTGTTCCGAATTCTACAATACACGCCTTTTATCACAAGTGCCTATGGTGTATCCAAGCTTATCATGATCAGGTTGATTTTGGTACATCCGAGTACGAACAATACCTCAAGGTATACAAATCTCACCGGCGTGTCTACTTTCTTACAAATGATATGTAGCTATTACTCTCATTTTATGTATATTTTCTTGACTTTTTTTTCTTTCTCTCATACCAAATGTTTGTTGGAAATGGATGCTGCTCGGTATGCTAACCATACCCCATTCATTCAGCCGTTCATTTATTTGTTTATTGGCCTATCCATTTGTTTGCTTTTCTGCTGTTTGTTATTTGTTTGCCATTTGTCTTTTCGCCATTTGCCTTTTTGCCATTCGCTCACTGCATCACAGGAGGAAAACGCGGGAGCCATATAGGTGGGGGAGGGAACTGTGGGAGCTGTTCCAGTATGGGAACAGTACGGGCATGGGAATGGTACGGGCGCAGGAACGGTATGGGTACGGGAACTGTACGGGTATGGGGATGGTATGGGTGTGGGAACAGTGTGGGCATGGAAATGCTATAGGCACAGGAACTGTATGGGCGCAGGAGTGAATGTGACTACACAGAGCTATGGGAGTATTTGTGAAGTTTGTCTTTCATTTGTTAGCATGGGAGTTCTGTGGAGGAAAGAGGAACTTATCGGAAGAGGGTGTGAAAGAGTGGGCAAACTGGATGTTTGTGGTGATCAGTGGAATGATGGGAGGATTTCCTTATCGTGATTTATATATACTCCTATCTTTACGGTTGTGTTAGTTAGTTGTGCTTTAGAGAGAGTGAGTGAGAGTATTGTTGAACAAGAGAGAGAACTTCCCCACTTTAGCCAGCGATCAGAGTTTTCACCAGCTAAGTGACTAATCGCCATCTTTGTTGTGTCATAGGCTATCATTCGTTGGTCTAAAGTCTTTGCCGTTTAAAAATGTTGATATTAGAATACTTCTTTTAATGGTTTTCATGTCTTATACTCTCAACATTTGTGCCAAAGACACGTCATCATAACCTATCATTCGGTGTCTTGGCAGCTTACTAACAATCTCAGCGAATTAACCTAGGTGTCGATTGGCAGTGTCCGGAACTGTACTGGACTAGCACTGGCTGCATCTGTGTAGAAAATCAACTGTGTTCCGCACTTAATATTGATACGGTGAAATAGCTGGGATCTAACATGGACTTGCAGTTGTCTATACCCATGGCACGCCCGAGAAACTCACTGCTTACCGTTCACGCAAACACCCTTTCCTTCCGCAGTCTACCAACCCCGACTACGTCTGAGTGCTTGGGAATGACGCTGTTAACGGAAGCTCATTTGCACCACCTCTCCAGACCGACCCCACGCAGAGTACAAGTGCTAGGGGAAATGTTTTCATACAAGACGGTGATTATTTTGCAATTAATAATCCCTGTTTTGTACGAAAACATTTCCCCTAGCACTTGTGCCGTACCGTAATGGTTAGTGTTTTGATGGGTCAGATGTTACAGACTGCGGATGATAACACTCATTTGTATTTCTGGTTTCATTTGCCGGTAGAGATACTCGTGCAGCGCCATATTCTCATTGGTTAAGGAGTTCGTCAACCTTAGTGTCGCTAGATCATCTATCTGGCACGGAAGGTTCAAATGTAAGCTAACCAAAAAATTTGTAATTTAGTTTGGAGACTGAAGCTGTTCCTACTGTGTTCAATACTCGAATAAAGTACTCTTACACTAGGTACTTGCACTGGTGAATATGCTCTAGTGGGGGTGTCACAAAGTGTCAGCATGAGGCTCTGCGATTTTTAGCTTAGCTCACACTGTTCGTGTGCCAATTCTAGATTGGTATAGTTCTTGGACAAAGGTCATCATTGGCGATGCTACCGATCGCACAACAATAACCATAACCTCGACCATGGTACCACCTCATACCACAACAAAAAAAAGGTCACTACAGGAAGAGAGTAGGAAGGAAAGAATGGCTGGAGTCTGTGCATTGGAGAGCAGTAGGGATGAGGGAGGTTGAGATGAGTTTTGCCGAGATATCATGCTGAGTAAAAATCCCTGCTTCCACTCTTGCTTTAGCCTACCAATGAGACCAGTCAACTGGCTCAGTTTTAGCCAACACCAGAACTGATCAAGTGCAAAAAATTACTCCCTGAACTAGATGTCATTTAGTTATTGCCTCTAGGTGCAACAGAGAAATGTCACTCTGGCAGCTTCACTGACATTTTGCTCCTCATGTCTCAGTCAGGACAATTAAGAGAAGGCTAGCAGAATATAGTATTCACAAGCATATAAAAGCTGAGAGACCAAGATTGAAACTTATTCTGGCAAGGAAGAGATATGAATAGTACCTTAGGTATAGGCATTGGACAATTGCACATTGGAGGAGGGTAGTCTGGAGTGATGAATATAGTGTGGAGAAATCTGCAGATCCAGCAGTTCAATGGGTCTTCAGAACATCAAAGGAAAAATGGCTTCCAGAGTGTGTGAAGGGAGTGAGGAAGTCTGGAGGTGTTAAGCAGATGGTATAGGCCTGTTTTGCTGATGGATTGAAGGGAACATGTAATGGGATGAGGATAGAAGATGGGGGGGGGTAGAGTAGATGTAAGGGTATATGTTAGGACTTTGGGCTTTTCTTTACTTGATTTTTGGGAGGAATTGGAGGAAAAGGGTATTAGGTCAATCTTTATGCAAGATAATGCTAGGGTACATACTGCTAGGATTACAATGGCATGGTTGGAGGAGAATAAGGTGGGAGTTTTGGAGGATTGGCCACCATATTCACTCGATCTCAATCCCATTGAACATGTTTGGGTACATCTCAAGAAGCTTTACCATGAACATTATGCTCACTTGGCTGAAGATACTAGATCAGCAGATAAGGTAAAGCTACTGATAGAGGAAGCCCTTATTCATTGTTGGGAGTTGATACCTGACTCTTTATTTGAAAGATTGGTAGAGGGTATTTCTAGGAGGACTAATGCAGTTATTAAGGCAAAAGGGTGGTATACTAAATATTAAATTGATATTTTGTATTTATACCTTTTATTCTATCTGTTCTATAAAAAATTCTGCAGCTCTAAGCACATCTATTGTTACATGGGGGGTTGATGTTGACAAGTGGTGAGCGGGCGAGCGTCGTTGTCAAGCACGGTAACGATCACTTTTGTCACCAAACTGTAGGTGAAATGATCGGATGATGCCGGTGACACAACGAGCCTCATCTCCCACATTTTTTTCGGGTGCGGCTCTTTCCAAGTCCATAAGCCCCCTGATACGGTACATACCACTGCCATAGTGAACGCTTCAGCATTTCTACATCCAACCTCGCACTCCAGAAAGATCATGGACCGTACAGCACATACACAACGGGTTACTTAATACCGATAACGTCAGCTACTGATAATCAAAACAACATCGTCGATATGAACAGAGCCATAACCGATGAGAATCCGGATTCCGGAAACCGTGGAGTGACTCTCACACCCGAGCTTCGGAAAAGCTATCAGTAGCTGCGCGTACGGATGGGTGCGATGTTGTGGGAATTGGCTTTTGGAAAAAAAAAAGGACGAGTTCGGGGGAATGGAGTACCCGAGTAGGGAGGGTGGAGCTGGTAGGGCTGTCCTGCTTTGTTACGGGAATTCGGGAGCAGGGGATGGCATATCTAAGGCAGGGAACCGGTGTCTCAGGAAGAAGTTGAAGCTATCGCTGACGATCCGCAATATTAGTTCTTTAGTGCTGGATACCCTGTGCGATGAACCTAGCGAAGGTGTTGCGGTCGCTGGGATGTATTGCGGCTCCCGTGACCAGCAGTAGCAGACAATTACGAATATGACGAGAGCCATCACCAAGCGACTAGTGGTTGAGTTATAGGCGAGACTCTGTGGCATGTACGGGCGGCCTTTTGAAAGGTGGAAATGGTGCTCGGCGGTCAAGGTTTGCGACTTCCGGATGTGGCGGGAATGCTGAAGCAGATTATTGTGTTGCTATCCTGCGTTTTCATCTACATCGATCCTTTGAACGAATGCCTACCTAAGAATCTGCCAGAGTTACTCAGGTTGCTGGAGGAAATCCTGCGGGGGTTACCATGGCGCGAGTATATCTCACTGGAGGACCTCATGTCGAGAGAGAAATCACAGAACATTTCACCTTAGTAACAATGATTCTGAACTGGGGATGCTAATCTTGATAAAGGAGACACTAACTATGGCCCGGAAGCGCTTTTTGCTCAGAATGGGTACGAAGGAGCAGTTAAAATGTTTTCGAACAGGAGGATGTCAATCCCGAGGCAATAGATAGTAACGACCAAATAGCATTTTTGTTAGCTGCCTTCTGTGGGCATAAAGCACTTCCGAAGCGACCCTCAGAGCGTAAACACTCCTTCCCATCCAAACGGACCTTTGTGAAATCCCAGAACGACCCTCAATCAAGCCGCCCAAGCCTACTTCAAATCCTCTCTAACCCTATCCCACCCGTTACGCTTTCATCGTCGAAGGCTGTCGTTCTTCCCCCCGATCCTCAATCGCCCCTTACAATAGTGATTGGTTACAGTATTATTATTGCTTGTTTAATTATGTTTTCTCTTTGCAATCAGTTTCTTCCCCATCTCATTCTCATAACATGGGCGGCAACTACTGCATGCGGGGTGGGTATAGATAAAGATTTTGTGGACCTAGATATAAACGCGAATTATAGTAGAGAGAGTGACTGTAAATCACAATCAGGAGTCTTGCGGTGATCTATGGCGCACACAAACTGTACTTTTCTTGTTTCTCTCTTTCTCTTTTTCTTTCTTCCTGCATTTTTTATCGTTTTTAGTATTTTACATGTATACTAACGCCATATTATACATAACTTATCCCGTTATCACAGAACATCCTTTTTTTCTCTTTTCTTTCATGTGAACTACCTTTTAGAAGGGGAATGTATCAGAGCTTCTGGGTTCTGCGGGGATCTGCTGGTGAGCTTGCGTTAAACATGAATATGGTTTTTGAGGTGCGGCAAACCTCCTTCATACCGAAAGCTTAATTACCCTTTGTGATTTACCCCATATCGCTTGGATTATGGGACGTGAAAGGTCATGGTTGCCATAGTGAAACTTTAACGGATAGTGGAGATCCG